ATCCTCTAACCTTGACATTTATTGTTATCCTTGTTAAATCTTTACGTTAATATTTCATCTTAAAGTTCTCATCTTTTTCTTCTTCTTCTTCTTCTTCTTCTCTTTCTTTATTATTATAGTTGTTATAGTTATTATTGTTATTGTCATTGTTGTTATTATTGTTATTATTATTATTGTTATTATTATTATTACTATTGTTGTTGTTGTTATTGTTGTTTTATAATTTTTTTTTATAATTTGTACAATTAACCTCCTTGTGGTTCGACCCCGGTCTTGCCGGGTTATTTATTACTTCGACACTCCTGCACTTGGGAGAAGACATCAATCTTTTCGTCGTGTCAGGTGTGATTAGTACTTAAAAGTTATTTTTATCAAAGTTTTATATCATTATATTGCACTTAAAGTATCATTAAATTCATTAACTTAAGCATGTTTTATAATAACAAGTATGATAACATAATATATCTTCAATTTATGGTAAATGCTTATTTTGAATGCAGGCATATCTTACAATTTAAAGGATCGATTAATGTGTTTAACTATTGAGAGTGAAAAGACAAATAGAGGGTTAAGCTTAAAAAAGAGATGTTGGATATATCTTCAATTTATGGTAAATGCTTATTTTGAATGCAGGCATATCTTACAATTTAAAGGATCGATTAATGTGTTTAACTATTGAGAGTGAAAAGACAAATAGAGGGTTAAGCTTAAAAAAGAGATGTTGGTTCAATTCAAACTGGAACATCATTCGGTTATTGGATCATAACTGAAGCTATAAAATATGAATTTAGGCCTGGTTTATATGAATGGAAAGCTAAGACATAGGCCTAGAACTTTCATGAAGAGTCCAAGATCCAAAACGGTCGTTCTCAAGTTCAAATTTTAGCAACAAAAGAGAAGTCAGAATTTGTTCTACAGCTTAGACACTATTCAATGTTCAGCCCATATCTCATGTTTTAGAAGTCCAAATGAGCTCATTCTTGTTTTGTTAGAAAGCTGAGATAAATTTCTAGAACTTTCATGAAGACTATCTATTCAAATTCTGACATTAACAATTATGTTTTGTTCGGGCAAAAAGATAATGGCTCTCACCAAGTCAAGAGGTGACCGCCTACTCAATAATTAGTCATCAAATCAATAGTTCTAAATTATAGCCTATAAAAGGAGGCATTTGTCATACATTTAAACATATTGTCAAGATCATATTCTTGCTCTCTTTCTTTTTATTTTTGTAATGTTTAAGTTTTATTTTCATTATTCTCTTATTTATGCTTTTCATCATAACTATGTTTTTATTTAGTTTATTTATGTTTCTCTTCTTCACAATGTTTCGCTAAATTTATTATGTCAAGGTGAAAAGGTTTCACTAATGACATTAGAATAGGTATAATATAAACTTAATATGGACTTTAATGTTTATATTTAAGAAAGTTTGTTATTAACATGTCTTATCATTTTATCTTACTAATTTTTAATACCTTACTTGTTAAATGATGAATCTAGATTTGTGTTGTACAACCCTTGGCATAACAAATACTTGACACATTCATCGCCTATGGTATGATATAACCGACACATGTGCTATGAAAAAAACTTGATTTGTTATTAACATAAGTTAACATCATGAATTCCTAATAATATTTAAAAGTATGGTGTTACTAAAATAAGATAATTAATATGATCATGTTAAAAATTTATAATGAACTATTGAGGATAAATCATTCGATTGGAACCTCCTTTGTGTGTAGTTTCCAGTTGATTAATAAAAAGAGTTTATACTCTACTTATTTCTAAAACTATTAGTGGATCCTCTAACCTTGACAATTGCTTTTATATTTGATTAATACTCACATTAATATCACATCTTAAATGTTCTCTTCAACTCCTTTTCATTTGTTGTTTATAATTTTATACAGTTCACCTCCTTATGGTTCGACTCTAATTTTATCGGGTTATTTATTACTTCGACACTCCTGGGATAAGACATCAATCTTTTGATGAAAAATTAAAATATAAATTGACATATTGTTTCAATGATCAGGTTTGATTTTTATAGGTGAATGTTTACTTGAGACTAAGGTTTTTCTCTTAATAAGTTTCAGTTAATCTAATTTAGTTTGATTATTTTAGTTTGCTTACCATAGCATAGCATAGAAAACCTCAAAACCTCCCAACTTTGAATCATCTAGCATAAAGATCTGAACTAGATCTTCCTCATAGGGGTTGCTCTTGCTTACTCTATGCTATTTTATTTGCTTGAGTTTTATGATATATGGTATGATAGGTTAGATCATGTAAATTATAATTTTATACAAAGGTTAATAAACTATTAATTATTACCAAGTATGAGTTTTAAGAAAAATCATAAGTGTAAAATTTATATGGAATCAAAATTCACAAAACCTTCTTTTCAAACAATTGAAAATCAGATGGTTCAAATTTGATCAAGTGAATTATAGTTTTAACTACATAAACCTAAAATGTTAAAGGTAACCTAAAATGCAACATCATACTTCTAACCTATTCAAATCAGATTAAAAAGGTGTATGTCCTAGTAATAAAACCACATTGATGATAAGGCTACATCAGTTTAATGTTTTCTATTTTGGTCAAACAACTATACTTATGTATAGAATTTCTTTAATGATATTTATACTAAACATAATTATAACCAAACAAATTATTCACATAGTTTATAACCATACTTATAAGATTTATTGGCTTAAGGGTGTTTGGGAGTGTGATAGAAGTTATTTTTTAAAGTGGTTTTTACTTGAAAATGCATTAAAATAATGATTTTTTTTTTTATTTTTAAAAAATTACTTTTAACATCAGCATATAAAAATGATCCAAAAATATTTTTTTGAGAAATTAATTTTAAGGAAAAAAATTCATATTTTGTTGAAAATCCAGTGAAAACATAACACCAAACAGGACTTTAAACTTAGATCATGAATTGGTTGAATTATTATTTTTAACCAAAACAACTTGTTTTGGTTAAAAAAAGTCTGATTTGAAATAAAATTTTGACAATTAGTTATATTCATTAGTATTAAGTTCTACTTATGAACCATTTTTCTTTGTTATGGCCAATCAAAACTGATTTTGATAACTGCAAGATCATATAATAATACCTGTGCTAGTTAAATATGTCAAAGATGATATATATATATATATATTTGACAATGGATTTCATATCGTAAGGTTTTTGACCCATTAATAATAAGCTACGCGAAGAGATGACGCATCCGAATCATTCCTCCATATAATTTTAGTTTAAGAAAGCAAGACAATATATTTTATAATTCTTTTTTATTTTTGCACAAAATGATACTAATTACTCAAGTCAGTCCCCTATTTATAAGCCAATTGTCAAGCGGATCATTATCCTAGTACCCTTTCAAGAACTTATTATTGTGAATTTTTAATAAATTAGGTTTTTTTTTTTTAACTTTTCAGTATAACAAAGGTACCTTAAACGGAAAAATATATTGGATTATAATTTCTAATTAAGAGGAAAACCTTAACTGATTTAGATGGGACCTAGATGAAGATTTGCGATACATTGGGGATCCAATTGAAAAGCAATACTACACAGGGAGTCGATTGAAAAATGGGCTGATGATAGTAAGGTTTGGAATCAGATGAGCTGCATAACATCACATGTTCAATTTCAAGTTCGGTATACTTCCTACGAGAAAATTAATATGGAGTCGAAGTCCTTGTCCAGATAATACTGTACTACGTCCTTCCTATTAATTCGGACAAGTAGTTGTAATATTAATTTCATATGACTCCTCTAATTATTTTATTTCAAACACGGGCGGTTGTTCAAAGCCAGAACCGGACTGGATTAGATAATCCAAATCCTAATCCAAAAGGAGATCGTTTAATTCCTTGTAATGTAATGGTGGATTCTAACCACTATAAATACAAGGTAATGGCGACGACCTTCTCAAGATTCAGTATCACTGACACAATATTCGTTTCTCGCTTTTGCTTGCTGCTTGCTTTGCTCTCAAATAATGGGTGCTGGTGGTTTTGTTGCCGGTGATGTTAAAAACTATCCCGGAAAGGTCACTCGGCATGTGGTAAATGCTTGTGTGCTAGGAGCCATGGGAGGATTAATTTTCGGATACGACCTCGGTATCTCGGGTGGTGTGACGTCTATGGCTCCCTTTTTGAATAAATTTTTCCCAGATGTTTATCGTAAGGAAGCATTAGATACATCCACTGATCAATATTGCAAGTTTAACGATATGGGGCTAACCCTGTTCACATCTTCATTATACTTGGCTGCATTAATTGCGTCTTTTGGAGCTTCTTATATCACAAGGACGTCGGGTCGGAAAAGAACAATGCTCCTTGGTGGCATCGTATTTTTCATCGGAGCTGCTCTCAATGCCGGTGCTGTGGACCTCTCAATGCTCATCGCCGGTCGCATTCTCTTAGGTGTTGGAGTTGGTTTTTCAACTCAGGTAATCAGCCCTTCTATCTATACTAAAAAGATCAATGCTCTTTGGTGGCATCATGTTTTTCATCGGAACTCTATTTATCATGCATTCTATGTGCTAAATTAATTGTAAATTTTTGTTTCGATATCGATCAGTCTGTGCCGCTCTATGTGTCCGAGATGGCTCCACAAAAACATCGTGGTGCTTTCAACATCGTGTTCCAACTCGCAATCACTATTGGCATTTTCATAGCTAATCTTGTCAATTACTTGACACCTAAGATTGCTGGAAACCAAGCATGGCGTTACAGCTTAGGCGGAGCGACCATTCCTGCGGCCCTCATCTGTCTTTCAGCGCTTAAACTGGATGACACTCCAAACTCGTTGTTAGAGCAAGGCAAAGCTGAAAAAGCTCGAGAAATACTTAGAAAGATACGTGGCCTTAACGACAAGGAAATTGAGTCTGAGTTTCAAGATTTAGTCACGGCCAGTGAGGCAGCTAAGCAAGTGGAGCATCCCTGGACTAGAATCCTCAAGAGACAGTATCGGCCGCAACTGACCATGGCTGTAGCTATTCCGTTTTTCCAACAACTTACTGGGATGAATGTGGTCATGTTCTATGCTCCTGTCCTCCTCCAGAGTATTGGTTTTGAAAGTAATGCTTCCCTCTTATCCACGGTTATCACCGGCGCTGTTAACATTCTTGCCACCGGTGTTTCAATCTATGGCAGTGACAAGTCTGGAAGAAGATCTCTGTTTCTTTCAGGTGGAGCTGTAATGTTTGTATTTCAGGTAATTAAGAATTATCTGTAGCCTGGAGATAAAAGTGTTCGCTTGTGTAGTTTGGTTTGCATATACTACTACTACTACTTGGATATCTTATGTAAATTAATGTTACTTGTGCAGGTTGCGCTCGCAGTTTTAATCGGATCCAAGTTTGGAACATCTGGAGATGTGATTGCATTGCCAAGGTGGTATGCCGGTATAGTTGTAGCATGCATCTGCTTATTTGTTTCTGCCTTTGCGTGGTCGTGGGGGCCATTGGGATGGCTAGTTCCGAGTGAAATATTTCCGCTAGAAATTCGATCAGCCGGGCAAAGCATCACCGTGGCAGTCAACATGTTATTCACTTTCTTCATAGCTCAGCTTTTCCTCGCAATGCTTTGTCACTTCAAATTTGGTTTGTTCATCTTCTTTGCAATCTTTGTGGCAATCATGAGCACCTTCATCTTTTTCTTTTTGCCTGAGACGATGAACATCCCCATTGAAGAGATGTCTAAAGTGTGGAAGCAACATTGGTATTGGAGGAGATTCATGCCTGAAGATGACGATTGCCGAGCTTTGGATGTCATGGTCTAGGAATGTCATCTTTTAATTAGCTTCTTTTAGTTTCTTTATTTTCTTTCTACTAGTTTTTTTCTATTTAATTAAACAGCAGCCGTAATGTGGACTTCTCAGGAAAATGTTGGAGGAGACTAAGTTTAAACCTTAATTTTATTAGATATATAAGTTTATTTGTTAATGAGTTCAATATCCAGTAAGAGTACCATCTTCCAATTATTGTTCTTGGACGAACTGCTGGGCGAGAGTTTATTGCAAATTTGTATGCTCTTCCCTTCAATTGAATATAAACCTGATGCTAATTAGGCTATTTTGGAAATATTCTTTCACGCGGAGCTGAGAAAGGGAGAAATATTCTCATGGAATCGGAAATTCTGAGTATGGATAGTAGACAATAAAGAACAACTCAAAGAACATTAATAAAGAGGATAGTTGTATAGATTACTAGATGCTGTAAGTGAGATGATGATAACTTTTCTGTGTTTCCTAGTTGTTGTTCAATATATTATGGGTTTCGAGTATTCTGATAGCAATCAGTTGAATATTATTGCCCTTGTGTTGTACTGCTGCTGAAGTTGTCAATCTAGCTTCTCCTGGCAAGGACGTGTTTCCATGACCATTCTATTAGCGCAAGAATTTACTTTTTTCGGCAATTTATCCTATGCGCATAGAGTTGTTGAGATCTCACTATTACCTAGAGAATGTTACATGAATAATTTTGTGAAGCAACACGCACCGCCAGCCTTAATGCTAGCGATAACATAAATACTTAAGGAAATTTATTTTAATCAAATAAATTATAGATGGATGACAAATTAATTTTAAAAAAATTTAAGTTTTTTTTATTCAAATAATCTTTAGTTTTTTTAGATTTAATTTTTAATTTATAATAATAACTCATGTTAACATTAATGATAAAGAAAATTAATTTTATAACTTTTTTACTTTCAAAACTCACTATACAAGGAAGATGAATTAAGAGTTTCTAATTTGAATTTTTTAAATTTTAGGCACTTCTCATCTTATTTTTAGTGGTTTTTTTTATACTCAGATTTTTCTTTTAAATTCAGAGCTTAGATTCATCTTGTTATATAATTTATGGTTCAAAAATCTTGTTTAGAAGCAGATTTAAATCAATATGGTATTGTTAGAATAATATGAGGCATATTGTAAACATCTTAGTTACATAAATAAGAAACAATAAATCTTTAAGGACAAGTGATTCATCCTTGACAATAAGAGTAAACAAGAAAACTGAAAAACTAATTTAACCGAGAAAGTTCAACCATGAAAAAAATTGATTAAATCAATTAGAATATTTAGAAAAACTTCCGGTTCGGTTTGATTTCAATTTTGTGATGCTTAAACCAAGTAACCCGAATCGACTCAAACCAGTTTAAATTAAAAAAATAATTGTATAAATAGCCTCCTCAGACACGCCACACAACACACACCAGCCACACCACACCTCTTTAATCCTCACAACCTCCCATAGCACTCACAAGTTCACACCTAATTAATTCTTTCAATCTTTAACTACCCCGACCCAAGCTCTCACAAGTCCACTCACCATTAATTCTTCACAGTAAACTATACTCATAATTAATTCTTTGTTATGCAACACCACCAGTTATCACAATATATCTTGTTTCAATTTTTGATATAGAAAACTGAAACAAACTGAAATTGGTCAGTTGAAATTGCGTTTGGTTTAGTTTTGGTTTTTTTTCAAAATTTCAGTTTGGTTATTTTTATAGATAAAAATCAAATCAGATAAAAAATGATCACCTCTACTTGACAACAACAAAAAAAATTATTATTTTAAAATGCTTCAAAAATATCTTATTTGAAAGTGCATTTAAATCAATATAGTTTTATTAGAATCTTCAAAAACATATTATAAATAGCTTACTGCACAAGGCGGGAGGAATAAAGCCTTAAAATTTTCAACATTGTACCTTTAGGAAACTATTTAGTATGCACAATTTCGAAAGTGTTTTCATCTCTATAATATTTCACCTTGTTGAAAGGTTCAACCATATTTTTTTATCACGAAAACCATATTCTTTGTCTTGATGATTATCAACATCTCATTTATAATATATTTCAAGCCTTGGTAGAATGCATGGTCTTCCCATCAATATGATTTCCATCATTTGCAACGTTTATGATCTCTATTAAATTAAGCATTAGCTGTAATAAGGACTTCTCAATAAAATGTTAAAAGATATAAAAGTTTAAACCTTAATTTTATTAGATATATAAGTTTATTTGTTAATGAGTTCAATATCCAATACAAGCTTTATCTTCCAATTATTATTGGACGAATTGCGGTGTGAGATTTTATTGCAAATTTGTATACTCTTCCCTTGAAATGATAACCAGATCTACTCACCTTGTTTCTTTGTATTTGGCTTGCTCGGAAATATAGGGAGAATCGATTTATGAAGCTTGGAATGAGGGCCCTGTCTCTTATCTTAGAAATGGCATTTTATCATAAAAATATGTTATAAAAGAAGTAAAACTTGGTAGAACATATTTTATCTAACGGAGCGTTATGGATAGGGATTCTTTGTTGCGGAATAATAAATAAAAAGAATTAAAGTAGAAAAAAGAATCTTTTAGATAAAAAAAAGTTAAGAATTGAAAGTAAAAAAAGAAAAAAGAAAAATGAGAATTGAAAAATATGCAACTCTGCAATTTTTTAATCAATTCATAAAAAACTTCATTACATTTAAAAAAATATAATATAAATACTAAAACTTTAAATAGAACAAATGATTAGGTTTATGGCCACTAAATAAAATACTCAACAATAATTAAATCAAACTCAATAAATAAAACCTATTAATAAACCTCAACTAAAAATTTATATAAATTAAATTAAAATATAAGTTAAAGTTCAATCTCTTAATAGTTTCGGTTACCTTTCATCATCTATTATCATTTAAGTACATAAACAATGTTTTAAGTCTAGTGTCCTCGCCATTCTCAGTATCAATTTTATATGAGATGGAGAACCTAAAATTTCTTAAGTAGAATAAGCAGCGGGGGATGAATGCATATAAGATTGGACTAATCGATTAGCAGGCACCATAATGCAAGCCAAAAGAACAAGGAGTGATATAAAGAATTGAACATGTTTCAAATATCATTGCTAACAGGATCAAGCTAGTCATTTTCACAACTTGATTCTTAGATTCATACCCAGCACATAAATAAAGTCCCTCTTTAGAGTTTCAAATCTATATAAATCCAAATATACATACAAACTTATCCTTTGAGTAACTAAAACAGAGTTCAACACAATACTAATAACAAAATTAATTTAATTATATAATTTGATTGTCTTAATATTATAGTTAATATAAATTCATAGTTATAAAGTACTAACTAGACAAGAAGAAAGGTACTAAGTGCAACCAAAAGAGAAAATTCTAAAGGTCTAATAAAAATAACTTACTAAGAAGCTATGAATCTGAAAAAAAAAATAATGAGATAATGAGTTTAACAACTCGATAAATAGATAACGTTTAATATATATATATATATATATATATATATATACACTACAATAATGAGGAATATATATACAATTATGGCTCTATATTCTTACAGGAGAGATTCTCAAATTGATCATAACAAGAGTATCATAAAGTAAAGCTTATTAGAAAATAAGAATGTAATGAGCATGAGACTCCATATCATGGGATGATTAGTCCGCATAGATTGGTGACTTCCCCGACCAACTAGGATTCAGATACGATATGCACAAAGACCAATATTATCCTTTAGCATTGGTATTCTGACTGTATGATCATAATCAAACAAATAGATTTATATCTCAAGGCTCAACTCATGACATCAATCAAATAAGAAATTATTAATGTAGAAGTCAATTCAAAAATATATATTGGCTCATATCAATAATTCAGATTTAACAATATATATATATATATATATATATATATATATATATATATATATATATATATATCAAGAAGCATGATACAGTTTATATTAACAATCTAAATATTTATAATATTTCTTATACATATGAAAAATTATTCACTCACTTGACTCAAAATCAAACAAAACTTGAAAGCAGATACCAATGAAATGCTCAAAAACAACTCGAAAAAAACTTACAACCTATTTAATGCACTTAATTAAGGACCAAAAACCTAAAAATTAAACGGTTTTTCACGAAATCTAATTCATAAAATCTAATTCATAAGAAAATAAATCATAAAAATTGATAGTATTTCACTAAATAACCCTTAATTATTTATCAAACTAATCTGAAAAATATAATATTACATCTACGAAGAAATCTGGAATTTCATCATATTTTTAGGGGTTAAATTGTAATTTTATCAATTGCAGGACCAAACTGAAAATAGTCATAAATTCATGACTATACTAGAATTTTGCTTGTAATTCATCCTCAATTCTGTTCAAAATCTTGAAGTATGATATGGGGATCATTCTGGAATTTCATCATATTTTTAGGGGTCAAATTATAATTTTATCAAATTAGAGGATCAAATTGAAAATAGTCATAAATTCATGACTATACCGGAATTGTGTCCATAATTCATTCTTAATTTTGTCCAGAATCTCAAATTATACTTAAGGGACCATTTTAAAATTTCATCATATTTTTAAGAATTATTTTATAATTTTATCAAATTAAAAAACCAAATTAAAAATATCATAAATTAATAATTATCCTGAAATTTTACCCATAATTCACCTTAATTTTATCCGCAATCTCGAAAGTTATTCACTTTTCTCCTTTTCTTTATCCCGCTCTCTCCTCCTAGTTCATTCTCTCTCAAATCAGATTTTCATCTTTCTTTTCTTTTATTCAATTTATACTTTTCAGTGTTTATTTAATTACTATAATATTCTTTATCTATTGTCTAAACCTTCCTCAGACTTTGTTGTCTTTTTCTGTTATCTTTCATTTTCAAAACATCACAGCCATGGCCGCCCGCTAATGGAAGCACGAGTCTAGTTTT